TAATGTCGAGTAGAAAATCAGGTTGTGAAAGTGAAGACTTTGAGAATTGTTTGAGAGTGTGAATTTCTTTTTTGAGAGTTCAATGATCTAGTTAATGAAAGACAAATTCTTATTAGATTAATTATTCCTTAATCACCAATAATTATATGGTCTACTATTAAAAGGAATGAAATCTCACTAAATGTGATGATGCTTGAGATAATACAGTCCAATTTACATATTTGGTTAAATGCAACCTGTCATTTAATAGAACTTTCTCTATGTTATACTTTCAGAATATATAAGCTTTGGTCATGTAGATAACCAATAATTTGTTATCTTAGACTCATAATCGACTATAGAAGTTCTCGATAATGAGTTTGGGAACATGAGCATATTAAGAACGAGATGCATCACCGAGGTATACATGACAGCCCCAAAAGGTATTTTGTGAGATTTTGGATGGATATTGGGTTACAATACGTGACATTTGATATTTTCCCCATAAGGGAGAAAATTTTGGAGTGTATTATTGAAATTAATATTATGTGTATTAATGAATTAGTTTTAAATAAATAAAAGTTGGTTTAAATTTATGATTTAAGTGGGAGCTAACCAAGAACTATTTAACTTCAATGATTCTTGGTTCCGAGTAGGAGCTAAGAGCTATTTAATTTTAATGATTCTGGGTTCAAAAAATCAGTGGAGGAATTTGAGGAAAGTGGTGGAAGTATATATGGTATAGAGTACAGAATTCTAATCTCATTTGAGATATGGTGGAAATTCTAATTGGACAATATATTTATAGAGAACATTCATGTTCTTAAAAATTAAGTGGGAAACTAATGAGTTTATGATAGATAAAGCTCTTTTTTTAGAGAAAGGTTATACTCAATATGAGTATATTGAGTTAGATAAACTATTTTTCTTAGCAGTGAGATTCAGTTCTATATGTCGATGCTATAGCCATGATAATGTGTTTAAGTTTAGATTACACCAAATAGACTAAGTGACTATGTTTTCATTCTCTATTGAGAATTGATTGAAGAGATCTACATGAATCCATTTGTAGGTTTTATGTTAGTATTGTGGTAACTTTATAATTACACTTGTAGCCTAATACAATCATCTTGATAGTGGTACATGAGTTTTAACAGTGTTTAAATCTCGTATAAAATTTCATCATCTGGATGAAAACCACTGTATTTATGTAAATGTCTGATGGTGGTATGTTATAATTCTAATTTTGATGTTAACAACATTATGGCTAAGCATGAGAAGGATTGTATCGAGACCATTTTGAAATGGTTGAGCTCAAATTTTGGGACGAAAGACATGAGTTTAGCAACATTTTGAGTTAAAAAGTTTATTATGCTCTTCTTACTCTGTCACAAAAGTTGTATACAATAAAAACCTTAGAATATTTTTAATTGTAAAATTGCTACATTGTTGACACTCCTATATCGGATGGAGACCGTATGTTTCATGTTATATACACAAAGACTCCATAAGTACATAAAGAAATATCTCGAGAATCGTATCTAGTATGACTAGTAGTTAGAAGTATACTATGATGTATACTTATCCTAACATTTGTCATACCATAGATCTAGTCAGTATGTATAAATATTATCCTTAGAAAGTGTATTGTAATACCTGAATGGTACTGTCGTCAGTTATTCTATTTTGTTGTTGAGAGAATAATTTGTTATTGGAATAGATTTGCAAATATTGATTAACGATGAGAGTTAGTCGAGTACAAATAGTTATTATACATTTGCAATCTTGCTATATAAAGTAGCAAGAAGTAAATCATGTAGCATATATCTTGGTAATTAAAGAAATTGTTTAGTATAGATGTATCGTGCTTCTAATGATACTAATTGAGAATATGAGATTCATGATATTATGCAGTTATCTCATGTATTGAGGATCTCAAATATAAATATTGAACCAAAAACTTGATGGTATTTTTTGAGAGACATTAGTAAAGAAAGTGTTTTTGCTATATATCTCGTAAATGATGACATGTAATCATACTTTGAATATGTTTAGAGATATACTTGTTGGTAATGCGAAATCTCTAAAATTGAATAGAATATGATACTTAGTGTATCAGAAAACTCTTCATTGAGTTTTTTTGCTCCCATAGATGAATAATTTTGAGTAATCTATCGTTAGGATTATGAGATAAAAACTTGCATACACGTAAAAGTATGTCAAACATGTTGAGATTTGTTCACTAGCACGAATAATCGCCTTAGACACATTGGGGTATGGTGAGATGAGACAAAATGATCAAGTTGTGTACATGATTTGATCGCTTTGATAAGATATCAAGATGAGATTAAAATAAGTAATCGAAATTGATTTTTTTATCCATTAAACATGTTTAGTAGTTAGATCGAGTTCTCAATTGGAGATTGCCTAGAGGTTGGAACATAAGGAGAACTTAAGTTAGGTATAGGGGAATATCTGAATTAGAATCTGTATGATGTTATTTGTTTATAAAGAATATGACATATGCCCTAAGAAATGGAGAAAATATCGTAGCAGTGTTTCATATCATGTGTGCTTTTACGACCAATATTGGTAAATGAGTAAATAGATCATTGCTTCTTCATTGTATGGTACCACACGATTTATACAACCTCATATATACCCTTATGACTTTTGACTGTTTCTTGAAATTTTATTTCAGTGTTGCTACTTTAGCATGTTGCTAATAGCTATAATTGATTCGGTTTGATGGGACATGTTTAGGAAAGCTGTTGATTTAAAGCTAAGGATTCAAACGGGAAAGGAAAACTATTTTGACGAACATTTATATTTGTATTCACTGACCGGACAATTGTATTTAACCATTTAGGGCATAGAACACAATTGTGAATATAATGATATAATATGGGATTCAAGTATATTCCATAAATACTCAAGGGATCGAAAATACTTGAATTAATGTTGAAAAATAAGTTTGGGATATAGCGAGATGTAATGTTACTCTATAGAGCTACTATATATCCTTAACAGGTTTATAGTACTATGAGCTATAATATGTACTCGATGGTCGCACTATCTATTTGTTGTGTGAATCTTTGTGAGATGACATTGAGAAGGATCTAAGTCTTATATTCATTGTCAATTGTGGTTTGGGTTAAGCTCATCGTGTGCAAGTGGGAGATATTGAAAAATACCGATCGTGGATTGTTTATGTGGGATAACCCGACCCATAAGATATCAAAAGGATAGGAAGGAGTGGTTTGAATTTAGAATTCAAACGTACCCCCCCCCACCCATCCAATTATTAGTCTATCATTTGACAAAGAGAATATGATGAGAAAAATGGTGAAATTTGCGTGGAAAATATCACCAAAATTATAAGGCACTTAGAACCACTATTTTGACATGAAACTCACAAAAAATGACACTTATATTGTAGATAATAATCCCCTTCCATTTTGATCGAGATTGGAACCATTGGAGAACATGAAATTTTTGGAGCCATAAAATACACGCTGATTCAACCACACACAAATCTTGAAATTCATTCATTTCAAATAAGATTCTTGAGTCTTTCTCACACAAAGAAATGTAATAATTCGTAGTTGTTGTCCCTCTCTCTAGATAAACATTCTTGTTACATATTTTGGTTTTATTATGCCAAGAAGCAAGGATACTGAATGTTGTTCTGCAACAAAGCCAAGTCCTTAGCTTCATAGCAGACAAGACAATTCAGATTTACGCTTAGTTCATTTATCTAAAATGAAATCTTGGACAAAGCTGAATAAATGTTCAAGTCCATCAGATTAAAACCAAGCAGTACTCTGTCTTTCCACAAATATATCGTTGTACATTTCAGCTAAAAGATGTGCTCTCCCTCCATTCAATAAAGATAGAATTGCTTCTATTTGTACGCCGATTAAGAAAATATAATTGTAGTTGGAAATATAAGGCTTTTCTTACATCTTAATGTACTCGTACATTAAATGATGATATGAATATGAGTAATTTATATTTGTTGATAACAAAGCATATTACATATGGACATATGAAAAAACTAAAAAATCAACTATACGCTTAACAAAGAAAATGATCTCCGATTTGAGGGACAGACAAAAAATGAAAGCAAATCTATTTTTGAGGAGCGGAGGGAATAACAAACCTATCTATATTGATTCTTTGGTCACTGATTTGCTCAAACAAAAATAATGGCATCTACTATAAAGAAAAAATTGCACCCCAACAATATGTGCCTGAGTTTAGGTCGTCATAATAAGCTCCTATTTACAATAAAAAAAGTAAATTAAAATTTAAGTCATAGTGAATCATTAATTTTAACTACATTTTGTGGGATCCATAAATTTTAAATTACGTATTTCATTAACTTTTATCAAAATTTATTAAAAAATTTTGATTTTTATCTAAACAAAAGTGAGGATAACCTTGACGGAGGCTATGAGAAGGAACCAGGTAAAATATAAATTTTATTTGGGCAAAGTGCAGGATGAGATGCTTTCCTAAAATTTAAACTCTACTGTTAAGGTATTGAAAATGGAGAAAAACAATGAGCAGAAGCAGAGCTCCTTTGACTATTTTTTTATTTTTATTTTTTGTTGCAAATTTAGGCATTTCTTCATAGGAAATTGCTGATCGTACAGCATTTTCCTCACAACTTTTTTCACAGCTTCCTCACAAAAATGGAGTCCACAATTACTTTAATCGTAGACCCCACCCCTTACATGTGTGTAGGCTGTGAACGTTGCTGTGAAAAATGTTGTACCCATAGCATGATTCTTCTTCATATCAACAATGTAATTTTACTAAATGCTTGAAACGATCAATTCATAGATTTAAATTTTAATGTTGTCTTTGTAAACACACAATTTTAATGATAATGACATATTTTTCCTCTACAGATTTCCTTCTATTCTATGCAGTACTATTCCCTCCGTCATACCAAACATGCCATCATTGCATAAATTTGCTACCAAGTGCAAACATAATTTTTGATACTCGAGTACTTGGCAAATGACTAAGACTTCCGATCAAGGTTAAAATGACACAAAATGTTACTCGATAAGGTAAATTATAGAACACAGATGACTGATGATTGTGAACAGTGAACCAGCATTGAGTTCAGCTTCAAGTTTGATTAGGTTTCTGCACTAAGAACACTTGCACAGACGGATGAAAGAAACTAAAGAAAACATCTCCACCAATACCTTCAACTAGCCTACTAAAACAAGACAAAAGTCGACATCTGCAAGACTCGTGTCAGGGAAGATCCCGCTGAGGGCTACTTTACCCGGCTTCAGTCATGAGGTTCAAAACGGTCGAATTATTGCCTACTCCTGCGTTAGTTGATGTGCTGGTCAAGACCTCCCCTAATGGACCGCCCATTGAGATTCCCCAAGAAACTGGTAACCAAGTCGATTGCTTATGATTTGATTCATCAATAGTATTAATGCCCAAGCTCATCTGAACTGGGTCCAGCTCAGGAGATAGTAGTAAAGGCATGATGGTAGCCTTTGACTGTGGAGGAGAATTTGGGGGTAGAGAAAAATCTGGAGGAGCCATTGGCGAAATTGAAAGCTGGGTCCAATCTGATTTCAGTTTTTTAGGCCATGAGACAGAGGTAAGATCAGATCGGTCTGTTGAGTCAATAAATTGGCTTACCAGATTTTGGTCATTCGATTCTAGATCCAGGAAAGAATTAGGATTTGTAGTATTCACATAAGAAAATTTTGTTGAAGGATTGACTCGGGAATCAGAGTTCACTCCAAACTCCAAGTGAGAAAATTCTTCAAATGGAGCATGCTGCTTTTGAAAGGAAAATGGCGCTTCTTTAGGCTTCGGATTGATAGAGGTGGGTGTCAACGTGAGGCTTTGGAATTTTTGAGTTCTGCCGTATGCATGTTTGTTGTCACTAAACAAAAAGGAACAAGGAACAATCAGTGTGTTAAGGATTTAAACAGGATAAAAGCGAACAAGTATGCATAGCCTTTCTACCTCATATAGATGCTAAAATCCTACATCTAGTGCATGCCTCCAGCCCCGCCCTGCCCACTGTGCTACATGTAGGGCATGTTTGGCACCCAATATAGGACAATATTACACAGGATAATGTACAAATTTTAACTTGATTTTATTCCTTAATCCCACCTGAACTGTCCAATCAAGCACAACAAGCATATCATTCACCACTAGAAGGAAAATCGGGTTTATGATGAATTATTTACCTGTTAACAAGGTAGTTGTTGGAAGCCTTGGCAGTGTATGACTCGAAGGAATTGAGTCGGTTTGGCATGGATCCAAGATTGTTAGATACAATGCTGCTGGACATCACCGATGCTGATGAGGAGGAAGCAATCGGTGCCACATTTGTAGTGGATCCAGAGACAGCGTGGCCTTTCAGGCCTTCCACAGGCTTTCTTGAACGGTTGCGGCCTCTATTGATGTGCCTTTCACAGTACTTCTGATCAGGAACAGCATCTTTCGAGCACCGCCACTTCTTTCCATCCGTCCTCCGACACCTCCCAGGCTCAGGATCGTTGCTGCCAGAGAAACCTAAATGGAGAGGACCCCATCCCACTGAATGCAAAAAACAGGGCAGTAACAAGCATTTTGAGGCTTCCAGGAAAAAAGAGAGGGAAAAAGAAAACATGCAAAAGAATTGGGGCATGAAATTAACAACACGTCCAGCATGCAAAATTGCAGGCAACGTTCAACTTCACTTGTTAGTATCCATGTCTAAGAATAAATGTCTATTAGGAAATGAAATATAAGATCTCTTTTGAGAATGTAAATGTACAGGAAGAGAAAAGGCTTACAACTATTTGAGGCATAAGATCCAGATGTAGCATATGGGTAGAGGGATCTTAGGAGAGGCATAATTAAGTTGTAAGGAACCGGAACATTTGCCAACATGTGTTTATAGATCAATGCCTGGTGTTCCAGCTCCATCCATTGAGCGGGAGTAAATGGTCCCCTGAATCTAGCAACAGAGCCATGCATACCTACATTCAACTCTCCTGAAGCAAGTAAAAGCATAAATCAGTTTATCCTTTCCCTTTTAACAAAAAAAAAAAAAGAAGAAGAACAGAATCCTTAGCCCATGTCTGGTACAAATTATTTAAAACTCATTTTTCCCCAACTCATTTTCAACTACATATTTTCCCATGCTTTCATCTCTTATTTATTGTCAACTCGCTTGTTTGCTATATTATCATTTCTTAGACTTCCGTTTAAGACGACCATAATTCATCTAAACATCCAACTTTCCCCCCGTATTTATCTTATGGAGATTTTATTTCTTTTAAAGTCCAACACTCAATACCTTAAAGCATGAAAGATCTGATCTAGCTAGTGTTCCATAGAATGAACCATTTAAGCTTATAAAAATCTGCGCCTAATTAGGTGCAATGCATTCTCTTCAATCCTTTCTTTTTGTTAATAACCAAATCTAAATGCCGGAAAAAAAAATCATTTTCTTGGACCATGTATTAAAGTTATTATTATCTTTATCCCCATTATTAATGAAATGACATTGCATGTGCTCTGTCTTAGTTCTACTGTACCTAAAAAATTCCAAAGTACTCCTCTCGAGTTCTAAATTACGATTTAATCCTCGTCCAAAACTTTGTCGTTAAACATAAAATACTGTTTAACATCTAATTGAACAATTTTATAAACCATATATAACTGATCTGCCAAACACTTCCATACTTCAAAATGAATTACATCTGGACAACTTCACCTAGAATATTGTTAACAAAAATTATAGATCAAAATAAGAAGATTGGCAGAGTGGAAGGAATTAGACAGAAACTGAGAAAGTGAAAGCAAAACAAGACACTTCACTCTGAGTGCTCCTACCGCTGGCCTCCTACTTTTGCACATTCCCACACATTAATCAGGTGTAAATATTTGTCAAAAACAAAACAGTAGTGCCCCGTTTTGTTATTTTCTCTTTTCAAACAGTACAGGGACCAGAAAAAAACTGCAAAAGAACCACCAGCCAGCATCCATTACAGAAAAATAAAGGAGCCACATAAATCATTAACAAATAACCCAACATCTATCTTTCTTGCAAACCAAATCATTATAATATTACAGGCTTCAAAAAGAAAATATCGTTACCACTGCTCTCTAACATCCAAATTTTCAAAAATTCACTGTCAAAATATTTTCCATTTTAATATTATTTTTTCAAGAAACCCAATTTTACAAATGCCCATCTGCCAATATTCTGAAATTTTTTGAACAAAATGGTATGCAAGTAGAGTTCACGAGTTCAATTTTTTGAATCTAAAATAAATCTGATTTGCAAGCAAGGAACTACATAAAATTTTCTAACAGTTTGAAGCTTTTACACAAGCAGAGTTAGCATAATAAACTTCAACCCAGAGCAAGCACGTTTATAGGCATACCTCCTGTTCTGCTGTAATATTTTGTGTCATTTCTACCATTGGAATGCAGATCAGCAGAAGAAAATGAAAGCATTTTCTGGCCATCATCACACCCTGATGGCCATAGATCGAATATTCCAAAAGTAGTTCTAGCGATTTTTGATTCCTTGCGGGTATCCTCTGCATTTTCTGATCTGTCTTGCTTCAGATTTCCAGATCCATGGCGTTTGCCATTGCTGGGTTCAGTTGAATCTGGACCAGCAGGCTTTGGAGAGGGGTCTTGGTGTGTAATCACCCCAAAATCCATTTTTGATGGAAAGAGAAAGGTTTATGAGAATACTTATGCACGAGAGCATTTAGTCCATTGCAAGCAACGAGTTGGAAGAGAAAAGGTGCTACTGAAGAAAGAGTTTTCTAGGGAGATTTCAACGACAAGCTAATAGATATTTTGACTCCAAAGAAAGAAGGCTAAGCCCCGTTTGGCCCCATTTTGTGAAAATAAAAATGAGTGAAATAGTATTTTTTTTTTAAATAAATGGTTGAAAAAAAAATATTTTTGATTTACGTATAATATTATTTTATGAAAGATTGTGTGGTTGAAAATTGAAAAAAAAAATGAAATGCAATGAAATGAAAATCAATAAGGACCAAACGAGACTAACCTTGTCTGTCCACTATTATTTTAATTTTTTTTACACTCATTTTCAATTCCACTGAGTTCAAAATTCTTTCTACTTTTTTTTCAAAATTTATTTTCCTACTCTAATGAAAGACAAACAAGTTGTATGAGAACCGAGTCATATTCTTTAAAATTCATCTTTTTAGACTTATTTTAAATTACAAAAGTTCTAGGAAAATAATTATGTACATAAATCATAAAACGATTTCCTACTTCATAATTCCACATTCTTCAAGAATTTATTTTAAAATATATTCTAAAAAATAGAACTCAAACATGAACCAAATAATAATAATAATGTTGAGATGAGATCTAGCCCTTGCTTGGTTTCAATAAAAATTATATTTTTAATAAGTTTTGATAAAAATTAATAAAATGAGCGGTTTGAAAGTTGATAAAAGTTATTAATATCATAAAATGCTTGATTATTGAGAAAAAAAATTTAATTTTAAAAAATAGGGACCAAATAAAAGCTATTGTATTTGCTTAAAAGTGTAAATAAGTTTTTATAATTCAAATCGTGATAGCTTTGTTCATAAATTGAAGCTGTTGGGTTTTTGATACCCAATAAATCCCGGGCTATGATGTTAACGTGGGTTAATGTTATCTTATAGGCATAGGCCGATGAATGAAATAAGTCCAACAATCAAGTCCATGAGCTACACCCGGCCCAATTGTATTCCTTATGGATGGCTTGAATCTTGGTCCGTTTACCCCTTTAATGGCCCAACTCAAAGCCTAACCCTAGAGTATATATATGAATGTAACCCTAGCCTCTTTGATATGATGATTGTGTGATTTTGAGAGAAGAAACTAGTGAATCCCGGCTGCCCCCCTTTTGTGTGAGAAAAAGGTGTCCAGAAGTGTCCAGAACGCTTGTATAACGTGTGCAATTGGTGGTTCTTTCATAGTATACCTTTGTGGTGTCTTCTCTTAGCCTTTGTGGCAATAAATCATCATCCCTTTCTTGTCCTACGTGGGTAAGATTGTATAGCAACCAAGGTGAATCAATTGGTTGTGGTTTGGAGCCGTTTGGATTGGTTGTTGGTAGAGAAAGATACGTTGGACTGAGCCTGAAAAATCACCGTTTGAAGATCTTTTGAAAGAGCTTCCGTAACAGAAGCATTGGAGCTCATTCGTGACAAAATTTCTCTAAATTATATGTGCGAGACATGTCTATGTATTTTTTAAGAAGACAATAAGCAAGAGAAGAAAACGAGATAAGATCATCTCCAACCAATTTTACTAAAATGGTGCAACTTTCACACGAACTTATTCAACCTCGATTTGGTTCAACTAAAAAGTTTATTAAAATTTAAATCAAAGTCAATGATTACTTATAACCACACATTTCATGAAATTTACAACTTTTCAACCAAACGTTTTATCAAAATATACTAAAAAGTGATTTTTGTCTAAATGAAATCATCTCTATCCCATTATACCAATTGAACTACGATAGGTGAGGACCAATTCAATCTGATTCCAAAGATTATTGAACTTAACCGAGTACTAATGGATATTTTGAAAAATATAACCTACGATTCCATTACACATACTTCAATAAAGTAATTTTCCATCTGAATCTATAACTCCTACCACTTTCTCATTACACATTTTTTAATAAGAAACTACTTTTCACAAAATTTATTCTAAAAAAAAATCTCTACCAAAGAGGGGCTAACTATGAAAATAAAACTAGAACCAAATCAAATCGAACCAATTTCGATCCAATTCAATTCCTTGTGGCAAGTTCTCAAATTTACTAACTCATGCAATTAAAGTATTTAATTAGACAAGTTCCTAAGCTATAATTTATTTAGCATCTTAGTTCTTCCTAATCTATTCATGAAAATGATCGATAGTGATGTTAAGGCCATTTTTAACTGTGCACCAAATTTTGAGGTGAGTTTTGCATCATTTTACACCAAATTTTATACCAAATTAAAAATCATTTCCAACCATTATAGCAATGAATAGAATTTAATCATTTTATTTTTTTGAAAAATTTATTTCTTTATTTTTTTACAAATACATAAATTACTAAATAAATAATTACGTTACATTAACAAAAATATTAAACTCATTAACTATTATGTTTTACATTATTAAAATTTATTATATATGCACATAATAATAATAATTATTATTATTATCTTTATTATTGTTGTTGCTGTTGTTGTCGTTGTCATCGTTATTGTATTTAAAAATATATAACAAAAATGACACAAAATACCCTTAATTAATTTGTTTGACAAATGAAAACAAAGGGTAAAATTGACTTTGCACCATTTGGTGCAAAAATGGTGCAAAGTGAACGATGTTACCAAACACCAAATGATGTAAAGTTTGGTATTATATTGGAGTCATTTTGCACCAAAATTTGGTGCAGTTTGGTGTTTTGATGTTCCCTTTGGAGATGCCTTAAATGATTTGCATTTCAAGTCTTACTAAACATGACGCTTTACATCAAATGCTTAACTATCATCAACATGTTCAAATATCACTTCTATTTTCTTTAAACTAATTAGGGGTTGAAAATATTTATGTGAAAATGATGAAAGGAGCATAAACCTCTTATTAATCTAAAAGTAACTTATGGAATTTAATGAATCATTTTGTTTGAGTTTATAAATAGAATTACGTTATTTATCATTATGATGATGGAATATCGATGATGTGGTAGTCTAGATAAAATAACGTGATTGGGTAGTTCAATTTTTATGATGATAATGATGATGATGATGATAATAATAACAATGATTAAATTATACCAAAACTTGTTTAATTATATGTTCTATTGCTACTAAAATATTGAATTAAAAATTGCATTTAATTAATTAAAATGTTACATTTTTTAAAACATAACACGAAGCCTCTGTTTGAGCCTCAATTTTTTTTTTTTTTTTGGGAAATATATTTTGAAATAGTGATTTTATGTATACTAAATATGAAAATGTTTTAAGTTTACATGTAAAATTATTTTATGGAAGAATGTGTAGTTAAAAATGAGTTTTAGAAATATAAATTTTGAGAAAAATAGAGCTCAAACATAGGTTATTAATATCATATTAAAAAAATATTACATTTAAATTCACAATACAATTTTTTTACATGTTATAAAAACTTTCACAAAATAAACATAGCCCTTGAACGATTGAGATAAAAATTAGGTTTTTACTAAATTTTGATAAAAGTTGACGGAATGTATAGTTGAAAAGTTATAGATACAATGAAATGTATAGTTAAAATTTGTTGTTGATTTAGATTTAAATTTAAACATCTTTTGCAGCTGAACCATATAGTAGTATATAGTTCGATCATGACGAGATATAATGACTTTGTTTGAGCTCCAATAAATCAAAAATGCATTTTTAATCACACATTTTTCAATAAAATAATATTACATATAAATCCACACTCTTTTAAACTCCAAATTTTTCAAAAAATTACTATTCCAAAATACATTTTTCCCAAAATTTCATTAAAATGGAGTCCAAGCAAGGACAATGTGAGTTACAATTCGTTGTAATATAAAATGAAGGACAATTGAAAAATGATAAAAACTTTATAAATTACTCCAAATGAATGGTTTGGTGCAACATTGTTCATTGCACCAATTTAATGTCAAGATTTGAAATTTGATTTCACGTCAAGCTGAAGTTTTGCCAAATGGGTATTGGGTTGGATGTAATCTAAAAACGGAAGGAAGAAATAAAGAATGGAAAAGCCCCAATTCGAACTTTTCCCTATTCCTATTTCACTATTTTGCATGATTCCCCTCTATCTTAAAAAAGAGAATCCCATATCAACTGTTCATTTGTGAGTTTCTCCACACAAAACATGTTTTCTCCTCATCAATGAGTTTATATTTTCACAATTGAGATTTTTTAAGTGGTTTTGAACTGTTCAAACCAACTATAAATATTCAATTATTACCTCTCCTTTATCACACTTGAAAGTCATTGGGTTTGACTGTTGAGTTAAGCTTTCCAAATACAGTTTATATATCTACTACATATGATGCCAATATCTATTTCCTACCTTACCTTATTTATTACCTTCCCTTAAAACAGAGGATGCCAATGTTAATATTCATTCCGGTGGAGTTTGTTCCACACTTAACCAGTTTTTAGTTTTTACATGATTTTTCCTCACCTGTATAGATGTATAGTAGATACTTGTGTGTGGGAAGAGAAATCTGGTTGTATATTGTATCGTAGCTGCTTTGTTTGAGTGTGGGAACAAAATCCTATGTGTGTATTGTAGTTAATTTCTGTGGTAAGAAGAGCAACAACACATGGCAATTGCTTTCCTACACTGTTTGGGAACAAAATCCTATGTGTGTATTGAGTTAATTTCTGTGGTAAGAAGAGCAACAACACATAGCAATTGCTTTCCTGCACTGTTAATGCCAAATTTCACACTTTCCAATTTTCAACATTTCCATCTGACACATGCAAAGCCTTTTGCTTTGAGCCTTTAAGTTTGTGAATATCTATGTACTTTTTTAGCTTGTAATTTGATGGTAGAAGTGCAAGAGGAAAGAATGCAGTCCGTTCCAAGCCGAGATCTTTCCCTAATGACAATCACACGGCTATTAAACACAAATTCTATCTATATTGGAAGGAAATGAACTCTTCATTAGCGTGAAGGATTTTTCCCAATTTTAAGGTATTTTATTCCCTTTTCGTTTCTCTTTTTGGGTTTTGATTTGGTTCATTCTTGTGAAAATTTTCTTCTCCTACTGAGCTCTT